AACCCGGTTGACCAAATGGTAAGGATAAAGGCTAAGTCTGAGATAGTCCCATTACCAAAGGGTCCATATGTTTATTTTGCCAAAGGAAGGGGCGTTGATTGCAAAGCTGCCAAGTTTACCTAAGGATGTTAAAGTCAATAAGTCTGACTCTACTTCAGGTAGAGCCCATTATCTAACTCTGTTAAGTTTCTATTCTAAGATCCTCATTACATGATGTGACTGGGTCACATGTTGATGTTTTAAGAATCAAAGAATAGAGAGAAAGCTTAAAGGAAGTATATGCTGATTCTGATCGCGTAGGTGGATTTCGATCGCATCAGAATTTTGAAGCTGTTACTTAGGAGTTATGATATATATTGCTTAGGAATAGATAACAACAAGTTTTTCCGTATGCAATTGCACTATAAGGATAAGTTTTTTCCGCAAAGTTTTAAAATAAAATAAAAGTTTTTAATTTTATATTTATTTTAAATATCCTTACAAGTGGCATTTGTGAAAAATGGTTGTTTATATGATTCCATTGATAGCAATATTTGGAAAAAAATGGACTTGATTCTTTCGTTTGTGGTGGTGTCATAATTTACCAAATAAGGAAAGATTCTCATTCCCAAGGGTTCAGTTGGATAGAAACTTGGAATCATGCAAGTTGAATAGTATGATGAATGAGAACTTTCAAGCATTGGAAAATTAAGACTTGTTCACATGGATGTGTGAGTCAAGTTAAGGACTAAAGGGATCGAGTACACATTCTTGTGCACTGGTCAAGTCCACCACAAAGCTCGTTAAGACTATTCGTCATGATTTACTAAATTTTAGTAAATATGGTTATACTTACAAGTTTAAGTATAATTCTGAAACATTGGAAAAGTCTCAATGTATGGCAGAACGAATGGGAAGAATCAAATTAGGCAGACAGATAAAAGTTTCTCAAATCTGAAAAGATGGGAGAGTACTTTAGTATCATGTTTTGTGACCATCTTAATGATTAAAGAACCACATCACAATTGGTGTTCTAAGGACATCTTAGTGCATTCTTATGACTAAGAAGAGGAGTCATGAATTGTTGAAATGGTTAAATCAAGAAGATGAGTCATACTTCGTTTCAAAACAAGTCTTAGAGTCATACTCCAAGACTATAAGTTGAGTGACATATCTTAAAGAAAGGTTTATAACACTTGTCAAATGTAAGAGTAAAAGTGTCCTACTCTTGTACATTTGAAGTTGGTAAGTTGTGATGTTTTGGATTAAACAAAGACCAACTAAGGCCAATTGTGTGAAGTGTTTGTCTTGATAAAGAATCCGCACTATCTCTTGAATATTTGGCAAGATAGTCTTATATGTCAAGAGGACAGTGGGAGTCTTAAAGATCCTAAAAAGAATTTCCAGAACCAATCAAGAATAAAACCTGAGGTTCTTCACTAGCACACGACTTGAGGTTTATAACCTATCATGTTGACATATTCTGTGCCCATTCCAGTTAAAGTTGGCTTTGCATAGGAGTTCTGAAAGTTCTCAATTGGTTGCATAACAACTTGGAAGCAATGGCAGGCCCTGTACTGCCAGGTGGCAAGAAGTTAAGATTGCATAAGTTCAGTCCATATGAGTTTGGATTTGTCATTATCCTTGTCTTGTGACTATGGTTTTGACGATTCACATGGATAAGAACACATACACCATAAAATCTAATGGTCATAAGGTTTCTCTCCGATTCATGAAAATGATGGTGAGGAAACACTTCCACCAAGTAGATTTGAAGCAGATGGCAAAAGGTCTAAACAATTGAGACTATGATTACGACATCCCTTTTCATAGTTCTAAAATTGTTTAGACACACATGCATGCTATCTAAGGAAAGGTGTATGCTTTTGATAAAGTTTTATCAAAGCATCTCGTATCAGAAATCTGAACTTTGGTAAGGAAGTCAATGATTTCTGAGTACATGTCAAAGCTAGTGGGAGCATAAGTGTTATGCTAATAATCATCATGTTAGTGGGAGCATGATAATTATTGTTAGTGTTGCAAGTTAGCAATGTTAATTATAGAAAACAAAAGTTTCAATTCGTGAGGCTGCAGGGATTGAAAAAGTTGTTTTGCTATAATTAAGGGAGAGGATATACTTCATTTAAGTTCTAAAGGCTTAGATTGAGACCTTAATCATCTTTAGTCAAGAATATATATATATATGAATTTCATGTTGGATTGGTTCAACTTAAGGAAATTCTATATATTGCGTTCTCGAAATTCGATTATGATTACGGCATCCCTCTTCATAGTCAAATTTTAAAAACATGGCAAATAAAAATATTGTAGCAAAAGACTGGTCTAGAATCATGTCTTTATGTGAGACATCATGAATCGTGTACCATTTGCTTTGGGTACAGGATCGATTGCATGTGCTATAATATTTGTCATTTCTAAATTTTTCCAAATGCCCAGAGGCATTAAGAAAGGAAAAGGTCTAGAATTGGATATGACTAAAATGATTAAGCAATTGTCGAGGACAATCTGAGGTTTACCAAAGATTGGTTGCTCAGGGACAGTTGGAAGTATAGTGCTAATTTTGGAAGGACCATATTGACATATTCTGAAAAGAGGTATCTCTTATTCAGAAGTGATAGTCAAAATGAGAATATGGAGTTGTCTCCATAGGTGGAAGTTATCTGTGTAAGATTAGAAAACTTAATGCAAGAAGCATGTCCAAAGCAATGTACTTTGAATATGAGACTTAGTTTCCATGGAGTTGATCTCCATTGGAATACCTTATAATGACTGTTGACAAGTCTTTGTGACTTTGTACATATTCATTACAGGAGGGTCAGTGCATATAAGTTTAAAATCTAAACAGATTTCGATAAATGATAGGAATTTGAAATTCTCACATTTTTCGATAAGGATTTGGGAGTGTGAAATTAGAATCATTGAAATTATGTTCAATTGGTTTATTTCACAAAGTAAGGATCATAGACAAACATAGAGTGCATACTTGGTGTATGGCAAAGCTATTGTTTAAGAAAAACATAGTGTACATGCTTGGAGCATGGGACAACTAGTGTTTTTAATTTAAGTATAAAGTTGATAAAACCGAAACAATGAATAATGAGTAATCAGTATGGTGATAAATAAAAGTGTTTATTTATATTCATAGGGTTTGATACCATATTTGATTCATTTATTCTTGTGTTTCACTTTGCATGTTTTGACTTCCAGAATAACTAAGTCGCTCTTCCTGAATGATTAAGTTATTCAAACCATCCACAGTCGGTCATATGTTGGAAGTAGATATGAATCAAGACTGTCATGGGTTGGTTTGTAGAGGTCCAAGTTGGTGGACAAAGTGGTGCTATAACACTCATGAGTGCTCATAAGTTCTGAGTATTGGATTATGTTGGGTTTTGAGCATTCTAACACTTCCTAAGTGTACATGCAACCCTATTAAACCTTGGATCTATGTTTGTCTAAGATACATGCAAAATATTATTTTCCAAGGTTTATAACCTATCTAGCATGGCATGGGGTACTTTTAACCATAAAAGAACTAGATGAATTACATACCTTTTGTTGATTGTTGATTCCTTGGAGTTTGAGAGCCAAGCACCAATAATGTGAATGCCTCAAATGGAAATCACAAATCACCACAAACTTGGAAAATGTATGAGAGAGTATACTAACTCTTGATTTTGGCCACCACACTTACACACACATTAGTGTCTTTTTCATGCACCATAAGCTTGTTTATATAGTGTACATGGTTAGGGTGAAACCCTAATAACCCATGTCTTTTCCTCTTCCAAGGATCCATGGGTAAAAGCTCCATGGATCATCCATGGACTTCCATATAAGCTTAGCCCATTCCCAAATGAGTGTTAGCCCACACCATATAAATATAATAGCCCATGATTTAATTAGTCTTCCTTTTAATCACTAAATTAATTCATAATTAATTCAAGATTAAAACTAATTAGGTAACATGACTTTATATTAATATATTATAACTTATAATATATTAATAAATCGTAAGTATACAACTCTCATAAAATTATCCATAAATCGTTTGGGTGAAGTGCAACCCAAATGGACCATGCCGGGTCGGGTCAAGTATATACCAAATAAGTTATGGACTTAGACACCTTATCCAACAGACTCCCACTTGGATAAGTCTAATAACTGTATTTGCCTATATTACTTCAGGAACCAACCGGCAATCGTAGCTCTCGAAAACTCTGTTGAACTATGAAGCGCCATTTTAGATAAGTGATCATATAATCCTCTGCTCTCATGATATCAGCCGGACAAATACATGGAACAATGTCTTACTTATTGTCTAGCAGTTGTTTCTCGATTTCCGATTTGTTTGACAAAGAACTTAACTGAACACATCAATTTAGTTCTGACCGGGCCCGGTGCATGGGTCAACACAAAATCATCGAGGGGCCCAGATATCGCTTCTATTTCTAGAAGGAACAGATAAACTTCGACTCATATGCTTGTTCTACTACTTATTGAATTGCACACAAAGGCACGTTTTATAACATCAAGTTACTGATGCGTTTACGTGCAATCAATGCACAACCAACTCATAGGTAACAACTCATATCTCTAGGTTTGAAGACTTATATGATATTACCGTCTCACGATCACTCGAGATAAATTCCATGAAGTGATACAAGTGAGCGTGGGTTTATTCCAATACTCATAACTTATGAACACTCATGAACGTTGTAGCAACCATTGCTATGTCTAAACACCTTTAGCCATCTACAAACCCAATTCATGACAATCTTGATTCATACCTACTTCCGACGTATGACTGATTGTGGAAGTTTTAATAAATTAATTATTCTGGAAGTCAAAACATGCAAAACTGAAACAATAGTAAATAATTGACAATTATAGTAACACTTTACTCATAAATAAATCACACATTTTATTCATCATCAAACGTCGATTACATTTTACAAGTTTCAGAAAAATTATCTAATCTGTAAAACTAATATCGTCCCTCAGCCCGATGCGCCTCGCATGCTGCAAATGCTAACCCTCGTCAGTCCCTTCGTAAGGGGATCCGCAGGGTTCTCATCTGACGATACCCTCTTTGCCACGAGGAGTCCCTCTTCTATCTTGTGTCTTATGAAGTGATATTTTCTGTCAATGTGTCGGGATCTGCCATGATCTCTTGGTTCCTTGGCTAAGGCAACCGCACTATTGCTGTCACAGAAAATCTCCATAGGCTCCTTAATAGCTGGTACAACTCCAAGGTCTCCGATGAAGTTCCTCAGCCATATCGTCTCCTTTGCCGCTTCACTCGCTGCTATGTACTCTGATTCACAAGTCGAATCAGCTACAGTCTCCTGTTTGGAACTCTTCCAAGTGATTGCCCCTCCATTTAAGGTAAAGACCCAGCCCGACTGAGAGCGGAAGTTATCCCTATCAGTCTGAAAGCTAGCATCACTATACCCTACTACTGTCAAGTCATCACTCCCACCAAGGGTAAGGATCTAATCCTTAGTCCTCCGCAGGTACTTGAGAATATTCTTTACCGCAGTCCAATGAGCCTTGCCAGGGTTCCCCTGATATCTGCTGACCATGCTCAAAGCGAAGGCCACATCAGGACGAGTACAAGTCATAGCATACATGATCGAACCAACAACGGAAGCATAAGGTAATCGACTCATCTCAGCTATCTCATCTTCTGTACTCGGGCTCTGAGCCTTGCTCAGTTTGGCATTGCTTTGGATCGGTAATTCTCCTTTCTTGGAATTCTGCATGTTGAACCTTTTCAACACCTTATCCAAGTAGATACTCTGACTAAGTCCAATTAGTCTTTTACTCCTTTCTCTTAATATCCTTATCCCTAGGATATAGGTAGCTTCTCCAAGGTCCTTCATAGCAAAGCACTTCCCAAGCCAGGACTTAACCTCCTGCAAGGTTGGGATGTCATTTCCTATGAGTAGTATGTCATCCACATACAGTACCAAAAAACTAACTATACTCCCACTAGCTCTGACATACACGCAGGACTCATCTTCACTTCTTGAGAAACCAAACTCTTTAACGTTCTCATCGAAACAAAGATTCCAACTTCGAGATGCTTGTTTCAATCCATAAATGGATTTCTCAAGCTTGCACACTTTATTGGGGTACTCTGCACTGACAAAACCTTCTGGCTGATTCATGTAAACATCCTCAGCCAACTTTCCGTTAAGGAAAGCGGTTTTGACATCCATTTGCCATATTTCATAATCATGAAATGCAGCAATGGATAGCATAACCCTAATAGACTTAATCTTTGCTACTGGTGAAAAGGTTTCATCATAATCAATTCCATGAGTCTGAGTAAACCCCTTCGCAACCAGTCGAGCCTTATAAGTGTGCACCTTCCCATCCATGTCGGTCTTCTTCTTGAAGATCCATTTGCACCCGACTGTCTTACGGCCTGGTACATTGTCAACCAAGTTCCAAACTTGATTGTCATACATGGACTGTATCTCGATGTCCATTGCCTCCTTCCATTTAGCAGACTCTGGGCCTGCCACGGCTTCCTTAACACTGTTAGGTTCATCCAGATTTACCAGTGTACTGTCACTGATAAATGTATCACCTTCCGTAGTAATATGAAATCCATAATAAAACTCAGGTGTGTTCCTAACCCTTGTGGAACGCCTCGGAAGTATAGACTCGTCAGCTGGATCAACAGAAATTTCCTCCTCAAGTTGATTGCTAGTGTCTGAGGTTCCTTCCAATCGAGTCTTGAATTTCTTCAAGGTCAATTTGCCTCCCACTGTCTCCTTGGCTTATAAATTCTCTCTCTCGAAAGACCCCCTCCTAGCCACAAAGACCACATTCTCACTGGGTCTGTAGAAGAGGTAACCAAAGTATTTTTGTGGGTAGCCGATGAAAATACACCTTTCACTTCGAGGTTCGAGCTTGTCATGAGTCTCGCGCCTCACGAAAGCCTCGCAACCCCAAATCTTGATGTGGTCCAAATTGGGAACTTTCCCAGTCCACATCTCATGAGGTGTTTTGGCAACCTTCTTTGTAGGGACTAGATTAAGGATGTGGGCGGCAGTCTCTAAGGCATACCCCCAAAAAGAGATTGGTAGCGAAGCTCGACTCATCATAGAGCAAACCATGTCCAACAAAGTTCGATTGCGCCTCTCAGCTACACCATTCAGCTGTGGTGTCCTGGGAGGTGTCAATTGTGAGACAATCCCACACTCCTTAAGATAGTCGAGGAACTCAGTACTAAGATACTCACCACCTCGATCGGATCGAAGCATCTTAATGTTCCTGCCCAATTGATTTTCTACTTCCTGTTTAAACTCTTTAAACCTTTCAAAAGTTTCTGACTTATGTTTGATTAAGTAGACATAACCATATCTACTAAAATCATCAATGAAAGTCACATAATAGCGATTAGCATCCCTTGTGGCGGTTTTGAATGGTCCACATACATCAGTATGTATAAGGTCCAACAAAACCTCACCCCTTGCACAAGTACCAGTGAAGGGTGATTTTGTCATTTTTCCAAGTAGACAAGTCTCACAACTATCATCCGACTTGAGGTCGAACGACTCCTGAGACTCCATCCTTTTGGAGCTGGCCTATGCGTTTCTTGCTTACATGTCCAAGACGACAATGCCACAAAGATGCTTTATCCAAGCTAGTAGAAGAATAAATACATAATACATTATTTCCTAAATTATCTACAACCGATATAGCTTCATACACACCATCACAAGGTAATGCTTTAAAATAAAGAACATTATTAAAGAAAGCATTAATACTACCAACTTCATTATCAAAAGAAAAGGTAAAACCTTGTTTGTACAAAGCATGAAAGGAAATAATATTCCTCGCCATTTCAGACGAGTAACACATTTATTCAAATCTAACTTTAACCCACTGTCTAGCAACAAAGTATAAACTCCAATCTTGGTAACAGGTGCAACCTTCTTGTTCCCCATGATTAAGTTTATCTTTCCGTGCTACACATCCTCACTTCTTCTTAGGCCCTGCAAGTCACAACAGATGTGAATACCACAACCTGTATCAAGAACCCAAGAATTAGAATATGGTGAATTATTAGACAATATAGTGTAAATACCTGCATGGGATGGTTTTACTTTCCCATCCTTGACATCCTGCAAGTACTTTGGGCAGTTTTGCTTCCAGTGCCCCTTATTTTGACAGTAAAAGCATTCAGCATCCTTAGGGATGGCAGAAGGAGTGATAGAACCACCTTTGGTTCCAGATGAGGAGCCTTCAAGGGACTTTCCCTTGGTACCCTTCGAAGGGTGCTTCCTCTTTTTCCCTTTGCCTTGCCCGATAGCCAAAACATGGGTAGTAGTAGGAGTAGGAGTAGCAACCGACTTACTCTTAAGACCACTTTCGGTAGTCTTCAGAAGTCCTTGAAGCTTACTGAGTGTGACTTCCTCCTTGTTCATGTGGTATGTCATACGAAATTGATCATAACACGATGGCAAGGAGTGCAAAATGATATCAATTGCCAACTTCTCAGGGAATTTCACATTCAGTTTCATTAGACGGTCCACATACCTTTGCATTTTCTGCATGTGGCTCGTGATTGGTTCGCTATCCTTCATACGGGTAGTGATCATGGAGGAGATTATTTCATACCGCTCTTGACGAGCACTCTGATGGTACCTTTCCATCAGATCCTGATGCATCTCAAAAGGGTAATAGTCCTCATAGGACTTTTGGAGTTCAGCTGTCATGGTGGCCATCATGATGCATGCCACCTTGGTGGCATCTTTTTCATGTGTCTGATACTCAACGACCTCCTCAGGAGTAGTAGTGGACTCATCAAGCTCCTTTAGCTCCTTATCGAGGACATATTCCTTGTCCTCGTAACGAGTAACCATCCTGATGTTCCGGATCCAATCCATGAAGTTGGAAACCATCAAAGATGACCCTCCCACAAAGGTTCATGAGGGAAAAGGAGCCAGTGGGGTTAGAGCCCGAAGCTTTGTTGTTGGAAGACATCTGAAAAGAAGAAAACAAGTTTAGATTAGATATATCAAATCCTTAATAATACACCCAAATGTAATATTAAGGCTAGGATCCAACACAATATATTATAACTTAGAAGAGGGATGCCGTAATCTAAGCTATAATATATTTGAAGGTAGGTGAATGACGATTCACCAATTTCCACCATGAAAACGAAATGAATTATTAGGTTTAATTGGTTTTTGAAATTCCTAGATTCCTTTGAGATTCATTGAACTTTTCAATGGCATGTTTCAATCTCGATTGTGCCCTTCAAGTTTGTGACTGGGATGCCGAGGATCACAAAACAAGGTGTGAATAACCATGCAAATTCACTTGGTACCCTTAATATTATCACCTAATCAATGTGCCGGTTAACCACACACGCTCCACCGATCTATGATAAACATTAAGTCACCCTTCGTGGTCCTTACTAGTCCAAGTTAGTGTGCCGGTTAACCACACACGCTCCACCAACGACTTGGTAAGGTACAAAGTGTGAATTTCATGGGTTAGCACCACATTCACATTTTCCTAAAGTAACTAAGATTGGGAATTTATAAAAGGTTTAGTTACTTTATACTATTCATCATACTTTTAATGAGAATTTATAAGTCCTTGTCCTACCCGTTCGGCTAACGACCCTCACCAGTCAAGAAGCGGTGGGGAGATGGACACCCATTAAGTTGCCATTTATAGGCAACAACCTTATACCCACCTTATAGACTGGCTTCGTGAATGAGGCGTACTAGCGGTAAGACGACTTTAATCTTATACATATATATAATAATTAACCATTAATGTTATAAATAGTATAGGGTTGAATTTTAACTTTTAAAACTCTAAGGGTTTGGAATTAAAGTATATTAAAGTGTGTGTAACTTTACAAATTCCAAAACTTGAGGACAAGTTTTGAAACTATTCAAACTTTTCATTTCATAACTTATGAATTAAAGGTTCATAAAATGAAGACTCTTCATTTCCATGTAACTTATGTGTTTTAAGTGTGTGTTTAAAAGAAGTGACCTTTGGATATCCATAACTTGAGGACAATTATGGACTCCATTAAAACACATAAATGATCAAGAATTAATCCTAAACAATTCAGCAAATAATTCCTATCATCTTCTAAATTCATAAGAACATAACATGATCAATCAAAGTTTCAAGAATTATATGAACACATACAAAGCATGAAATTTTGATATAAGCTATTGTAAATGGATTAGAACAACCATACACCAACTAAAACAAGTTTTAAAACACCAAAACAGTTTAGGGTAATGTTTCTAGTCCATTTCCAGCAGCAAAAGTCGAAAATCTGCATTCTGAGGCTCCTACTCGCCGAGTGCACGAACCTACTCGCGAGTAGGATGAGTTTACACATGAACTCGGCGAGTCCCCCCATGGACTCGCGAGTTCATCATCAGACAACAGCAAAAATCGACTTTTTATCACTATTTTGCATCAAGTATCAAACAAACAAGCCTAGGCTCTGATACCACTGTGGGTTTTGAGCATTCTAACACTTCCTAAGTGTACATGCAACCCTATTAAACCTTGGATCTATGTTTGTCTAAGATACATGCAAAATATTTTTTTCCAAGGTTTATAACCTATCTAGCATGGCATGGGTACTTTTAACCATAAAAGAACTAGATGAATTACATACCTTTTGTTGATTGTTGATTCCTTGGAGTTTGAGAGCCAAGCACCAATAATGTGAATGCCTCAAATGGAAATCACAAATCACCACAAATTGGAAAATGTATGAGAGAGTATACTAACTCTTGATTTTGGCCACCACACTTACACACACATTAGTGTCTTTTTCATGCAACATAAGCTTGTTTATATAGTGTACATGGGTTAGGGTAAACCCTAATAACCCTGTCTTTTCCTTTCCAAGGATCCATGGGTAAAAGCTCCATGATCATCCATGGACTTCCATATAAGCTTAGCCCATTCCCAATGAGTGTTAGCCCCACCATATAAATATAATAGCCCATGATTTAATTCTTCCTTTTAATCACTAAAATTCATAATTAATTCAAGATTAAAACTAA